CGTTGAAGTGCCGTTGCAATTTTCTCAGCCAGTATTTCAAGCATTGAAAGCAAACGTTTTGTTTCCAGCAAATGCATTGTGTAATATCCCAAGGAGAATTGAAAAGCCACGATTGCGTAAGCATTTTAGTTTGGTCTTATTATATTTTAATGACTTCGCGTTTTGACATAGAATATTTATGATGCTGAATAGAAAACAATAAAATGTAAGAGAGAAACGAAATTAAACATTAATTAAGATCGTTCAACACTCTAGTACAGTAATTATAGCGAGCATTAAAATGCATCCATGATGTTGATTTGTGGGTGGTACTGGTGTCTAAAACAGTTACTTCGCAGGATACATTTAAATAATCGTAATCCTGACGCCTCGTTACACAACAATATATGCACATGATTAAAGTGCTTATACGGTACACAGTGTGTTCATAGATAGCATAAAATGTCTGACAAGTCTGCATGGTGACATTCTACGACGTGCCTTGTTTTGTTAAGTTGTATTCTCTTCATCACATGAACGTCTTTGGAACACGTTTATGGCATATACAACTTTTACTTAAAAATACTAAATGAGGTGGTAATCTCAACATTACTGTTTATGTTTAATGTAATGGGAGCGTACGTGTAGCTAAGGAACAACTGTTTAAAATTGCCGATTTATTCATGGGTTTATAACATTTCGTTTAAGTAAACAGAAGCGTGGAATTTACTTGCATTTTATTTCATATCAGGTAGGAGACAAGAGTTAGTGGTCATTACAACTTACATAAAACACGACTATTCATACTTTATAGAGCGCACATTTAATACAAGGCGATGTACCACGTGGATTCATTGCGTAGTGGTTTGCGTACCGCGTTATGAACTCCGTGATCTGGGTTCAATTCCCAGCTACAAATCATCTGTGAGTAGCGTCTAAACTTGTCTTGGGTTTTTCTTTCACCAACCCCCATTCACCAGTATAGTGAAGTATGGTCCATCAACCCCTAAGACAGATACAGCATGCGACGCCTTCATACATCAATGGTTTGACAAAGGGCTGTCAATTTATTATTATTATATATGTATGCATTTGGGGATGGATTTTGGATGATGGCATTTTTTAGGACACTCTCAGAAGTTTTTTTTGTGGACGTTCAGATATTTGGAGCATCCTCTCTTTTCTATTAAAAGTGACGTCGCCTGATGCCACGTGACACACCACGTGTGGCCCGCGACAGCGCAATAGTCATTTAAAAGAAATACATTCCTGTGTGCGTCACGCATTTGGATTAAAAACAAACATTATAATTATTCTCCTCCCGCCCAGGAGCAACCAGCACTGCTCGTGGTGAAGAATGGTAAAAAAAAGCCATGAACGATATGGCATAGGGGAACTTTAATCCATGTGTCGATTGTATTTGGCTCAAATTTGTATTGATAATAATTGAAAACATTTTTGAAGGACATTCACAGACAGTAGAAACCCTATTATTGCTTTTGATGAACCTATTTTAAATGTATGCACATATTCCACTGCTATACCATGTCTACGTCGTTTAATACGGTATCCTTAGTGCAAAACTAACCATATCTAATCTTGCTGACATTCAGTAGGCAGCCTTATGCAAAGGGTGAAATGTGAGTGTGCGTCATATATAGAGATTGTCATCGTTATACAGCCTGCATGTTGTGCAAACACCAGGCTTATCAAAATGTTGTATTGGAAACAAAATCAATGTTACTGAGTCCACAGTAAAAGTATTGTAATTTCACTCTTAAACACTTTTCTTCCATGTCCAAAAATCTATTTACAATCTATTTGTTTAGTCATATATGTTTTTAAATGCACTTAGTACAATGGAGATGTTGTATAACTTCTAAATACAGCTGCAGCTCGAAACGTTACGCGAAAAAATCAGGACATGAACATCCAGGAGAAACAACCAAATGCCTGGGATATTCTGCATCCTGTTTATTTAAATGGTATCAAGAGCTCAAGAGAAGAGAAATGCCTTGAGCCTCGACTTAAACACCAGTCGGGAATCAGCAGCATGGATGGGCAGGAGCAAGGCAGTTCCAGACCATGGGGGCAACAGACAAAATTACAGACCCCCAATTTAGCGAGGGGTGTTTGGAGAGAAGGTCTTGGTTATTGGAGCAGCGCGCAAGTGAGTTGAAGTCGAGGGAAATGAAAAGGGAGATGGAGGTGGAGACAGGTCTAAGGAACATCTTGAAGGCTACGGTGGATATCGCATCTGCACGTGAAAGCGGAGACGATATTTGATTACCCCAACGATGTTTGTGTCTTACGATTTGTCGAGCAATGGAACTGATAATTGGTAGACTCTTAGAATAATCGGATATCCCGGTTTTAAAAACAAAGTTAAATATAAAAATATATTATGAATCATGAAAAAGCACATCTCAAACGGGAAAATAAGCAATGTTTTGACCGAATGGCCATCACAAAGATCTTTCTTTTGTGCATGGACATTTTAAAAAAAAAAGTAAAACGAGAAAATACGTGTGGGTAGTTTATTAACTGTTACACCACCGAGTATGTTACCGTGTGAAGGTGGCGTGCGTGGCAGGGGCGAGGAGTGGAGCTGTTGCCGGGGGGGGGGGGTGGGATGAATGAGAGGTTAAGCGGTTCCACCATGAGAAGCCGTGATCTCACCCATCCCTCCCACGTGCACCGAGGCTCTGGCGTCTTTGTGCTAATGTGTAGCCACTCGGGAGGTATAAACAACGTGGCATTTTCTCCAACGTGCCATTTTGATATGCAGTCCACGACGACGCAGCGATGCTGACGCACGTTCGACAGAGCTCGCACGCCTCGCGGACAGCGCGTTCCGTTAATTCCCCACAGAAATTATCGAGCGGCTGCTCCTAGGAATTGAACCGCCCCGCTCCGCCGCGCGGGTGACCCAGCTGCAAGCGGAATGACCCCCCCGGTCTATTCAGCCGCGCGTGTGACGGGCAGGGCCGGATTAAGGCAACGGGGCTTTTAGGTGGCCGCAGCCCAGGGGCCTCCGCCAGCTGGAGGGCCTCCAGAGATGAAGTGAAAAGTTATTTCACTCGTGAATGCCGAATTTTATTTGTTGTTAGCCTTGTAAAAAAATACAACTTCATTCAGACGCTGTCTCCCCGACAGACCTGGTCTTCACCTGAGGACGGCTGCTTGCGTTGTGGCCGGAACGTCGTGAGAATTATTTTATTATGTTTTATTTTTATTATTTTATTATTTCCCTTCTACGTGACTTTACCGAAAGAACCAAGAAGATGAATCCCTGCAGTCACGAAAGCTTTAAATCGAAATTTAATTAAATTTTTCTTTAACTTTGTTTTCCTCAATCTTGATTTCAAGCTTTTGTGACTGCAGGAATCCATACTCCTTGGTTCCTTCGGTAACGTCACGTGGGGTAGAAAACTAATAGATCACGACGTTTCGATCACAACACAAGCAATCGTCATCAGGTGGGACAACCACCGCAAGAGAAAACTGCTGAAGGGGCCCTCACGGTACCTGGAGCCCAGGGACCTACACAATCTTGGGACCCGGACTGCAGAGGTCGCAACCGGGTACCCGATACCCGTACCCTACCCGATACCCGGCTACACGTACCCGGCCGGGTACGTGTAGCCGTTTGCGACCCTGGTGCGGCCGGGTACGGGTAAGGAATCAAAACCCGTTTGCGACCTCTGCCGGACTGTGCCGCTCGCGATGCAAGCCTCGTTGGTCCTCCGTGACGGCGAACGCTCAGTGTCGCTTTTGTTTCCTTTCTGACAAATCTTTTGTTGCTGTGGTTGTTGTTGTTTTTTTTTTGGTTCGTCCATCACTGCCACCGCTCGTCAGCTCGGGTTAATCTTTGTCAACAACAACAACAATAAAAGACGCGGTTACATAACGCGGCTGCCGCCGAACCCTTAGCAAAACCTCGTGAAGATGAAAGTTGGGTGTAATTGAATGACTCCGCTGTCTCGGTGAAGTAAATGAGCTTCTAGTTAGATTTTTGTTGCTATTTCTTTTATGCCTGATGATGATTGCTTGTGTTGCAATCGAAACGTCGTAATATGCTAGTATTTTAATTTATTATTTTATCTTTAGACGCGACTTAACCGAAAGAACCAAAGAATAATTCCTGCAGTCACGAAAGCTCCAAAATTAAGATTTAATTGAGCTGCCTTTGAGCGGGCGTCGTGGCGACGATCTCCGACGCCACTCGTCGTCTCGGGGGGCTTCCGTGTGCGGTGCCAGTGGCGAATCTTCCCCCCCCCCGACCCGCAGCGACGTTTCCCACGCGTGATTGATTTGCGTCGTTTCATCCACCTACAATTCCCACTGGGGCACTCGATTGACAATCGGAAGGGCGCCAGTTCAAATCCCAGTTGGTTGGAGTTTGTGGGCTGCACCGGCTGCAGAGGCACCATTCACTGATTCACTTGGGTCACTCGCTCACCTCCCCGTCACTCTTCTATCGCTACTGCCACGGTTGCTGGCCCCGTGAACTTCACCCGTTGATTCCTACGCGCGCGATGTGGACTCGGGTTCACCAGACTGACTATTTTGCCTCTTCCACGACGTGTCCACCACCACTACCACCACAGTTGCAGATCAAAACGTGTCCTTTCTGCCCCTTCCCTGGCACTGCTCCACTTTGTAATCCTCCTCACATCTTCCGCTATCCCAAGTTCTTACAACCTTACAGTGGCGATGTGTACCTCTCCCTTGGCTCGTTTTAGGACGCAGAGACTGCCTCGACACTTTTTTTTGTCTCAGAGCGACAATCCCTTTCATCAACTGAGCCATTAGGTCGACCTGAAACGAGCTACAGTATATAAATGCTGGCTAAGTGAGCAGATCTTGTTGGAGGAAGCCATATCGTGAAAAACATCATGTGGCCATGACAATGAATCACGTTGCGCGCTGCAAACACATCGGCTTGTCGTTATCTCATCATCGTCTTTCATTCCCTTTCTTTTTAATCGATCGCTCCCCCCCCCGATTTCCGATCGCAGATCCCAGCTGCAATCATTTGGCCGATGAAGGAACGGCCGTCGAATACGTAGAGCGGGCGCTGAAGTTCTACTACGAGGCACAGGATGACATTTGCCTGCCCTTCTTCTACAAGGGCAACGGCGGAAATGCCAATCGCTTCACTCGGTTTCGCGACTGCATGAAGACGTGTTCTAAGCGAGTGAGCCAGCTGTACCCTGCCGGAGGTGAGTGTCCTTTTGGCATTCTACAGCATCCGTAACAAGCGTCTTTGCACTGTTCCATTATTTATCGCCTCCCCAGCCACCACCAAATTCCATCGTGTCGTGAGATGAAGAAACAATTTAGAATGCTCGCAGAGCACAGCGGCCAACATGTGCCAGAGAAGTACTTTGAAAAAAAGGGCAACTGCTTTGGGAGGCCAATTAAACAATTTTTTTCTTTACCAGGTAAGGCCCACTGAGCTATACAGCTCTTTTTTCAGAAGTGACCTAGCCATAAATGACAGCTTAACTAAGTGACTCGGCGTGTGGTAATGTATGGCAGCCAAATACTCTAAACGCGTGATGTTGATTCTAAATGTGGAGAGGAAAACCGGAGGACCCGGAGAAAAATCCACGCGACCACGGGGAGAACTTGCAAACTCCAAACAAACAGGCGTCAGTGACGGGATCGGACCCACAGCCTCCTGCATACCATGCGAGGTAGTTAACATCTCGCCAATTGGTGGATTGAGAATGGCTGGAATGAATTTTAATTTAGAACTGTTTATGAAATTCCCTTTAAGTGACCTTGTTTATGCACCTGCGTGAGAGAGTGCTTTCCCACACACCCTTCAAACAGGAATGTTTATCCCATGCAAGTTCTACCAATGTGTTTTTTTAGATTCTTAGAGCTGGCATTTAACCAAACGAATTGAAAATCTACATTAACGCATTGATCGTTTACCGCGTGAAGACCATCATCTCGCTACACTTGAGAGAATTCCAGTGGCTAAAACCCACGTATTCAATCACAGAATCTAAGTCGTGCAGGCTTAATTCTCTGGCCCCTAAACCACAAGGCCTCCATCATGACAATCATTTGTACAGCCCAATAAGTCGAATGATATGAGCCCAGACACTCTGTGCCTTAAAAATAATTCCAGGATCAGTGGTAAATTAGTGCTGAACTGGCAAAGTTCAGTGGTAAATCTCGCACTTCCAATTAGCACGGTTGGTTACATACGGCACAAAAGAAGTTCTGCATACACACAAATATATATATAACAATGTAGATGACTGATTGGCTCAGGTGGCTTATATTATGTCAGAATACTGAGTTCCGATATTTTATTTTCAGCCACTTGTGATAAACGTAGCAAGTCGATGGTTTGAGCGCAGGCCTCTGCCCAGCTACCAATGCGCAAACACCCCATCAATACAAATGCGGTTAAATTTCGATTTAAAGCTTTCGTGACTGCAGGGATTCTTCTTCTTGGTTTTTTCGGTAAAGTCACGCAGAAGGGAAGTCTGAACGCTGTCGCCTCGACAGACCTGGTTTCACCTGAGGACGGCTGCTTGCGTTGTGGCCGAAACGTCGTGAGAATTATTTTATTATGTTTTATTTTTATTATTTTATTACTTCCCTTCTACGTGACCTTACCGAAAGAACCAAGAATATAACTTCTGCTTATCCACTTGCTCCATACTTGGGGGTGCACACAGTCGGACTGTACAAACAGAATTGTGATTGACATGTGATGAACACTCTTTACAGGGCTCACAAAAGCTGTGTCTCTATCGTGGACAACGAAGCGTATTGAATGGACTTCAGAAGTAGTTCCAAAGTATTGTCTTCTGGGGTCAATCTCTGACAGAATGTGGTGCACTGCTCGCTGGGAAACGTCTTCGTCTCATAGCATGATGCCAATAGCACAGCTGAGTATAATTTTTCGGGATAAAGCAAAAAAAAATCCACCCATATATTGACAAAGCTTGGTGTGTATAATTAAAATTAGTTTTTTTCGGTTAAGTCACGTAAGTACTTACGTGACTTAACCGAAAAAACCTAAGAATATGAATCTTTGCAGTCACGAAAGCTTCAAATCTAGAAATGTATAATTAAACTTGTTAGATTAACTAATGAATGTACCTCACTGCGAGAATTAAAAGCAATATATCAACGTACCTGAAGGAGAAATGTTTCAACCGGTGCACGTGACCCACGATGACGTGGATCAGAAACGTGGACACAATCTGAACCGTGTGCAAAATAAAGCACGGAGAGAGGAAATCCCGTAAACCCACCCATCACACTGAACGTGAAGCTACACTGAGACAGAACAACGCCTGTATTCGAGGAAAGCAAGTGGGCTTTGGCAGGGCACGTGTCCAGAAGGGATGATGATCGATGGGCGGAACTTTGTGATGGAATGGCGGCCAAAGCGGAGAACGCAGCCGAGAGGACGGCCGTGACGGAGATAAAGCGAGGACATCAGCTCATGCGCAGGAGCGAGATGGACGGTGGCACCAGATGAAGGCACCCTCACGATGTGATTAGATGCCTGTGGGGGTGCCTTCATCTAGCAGTGGATAGAACATGTCTCACGGTGATGGTGATGACCGTAATTGCATATCATGTTAAAATGCTCATCTTTTAATCACACTTCTGCTCACCTTGTGGACCCGCTTTTAAATGGGTGGTGGCTCGTTTTAAAGTACTTGCACTGATCACAAGTAAATATTTACGTCTTTTATAGCATTAACCTGCGCTTGACACAAAATTCCCCCTCTCCCGCTGGGAAAGTAATTTATTGGAAAGTGCAGCAAATAAAAAAAAATGCAACACTTATCGGGCTGGTGATTAGATTATGCTCACCCTCTTTGGTGAGAGGCTTTGGCTTAGCTCTCCCTGCATATTCTCTCAAGATGATGCCCTGATTGACGTGACATTGTTACTGCTTTGTGGCTCTGGCAAATGGAAATAAATCTCCGGACATATCGCATTGCGGGTAGAACGATTGCATTCGGGAGCGTGCACGCTCAAATTCTGGCGGGGAGTCGAATAAGCCTATCATCCCTCTGGGCTCATTGAAAGTTGTACCACTTTGTGGAAAAGCCACAATTGGACTTTGGCCATCAAAATAGACGAGTTCCACTCCAGGCATGTTTAAACGGGGAGATACTTTGGCTCTTGACTTTAAACAAAAAGCAACTACCACGAGAATCTGATGTACAAATCAAAAAAACTGCCCAGTGTGCGACCGTGGTCATCCAGAACAGACCGGACATCATAGAACGACGCGATGCCCAATCCACAAATAGGAAGGAGACATCACAGCAATATTACAACTCCGCGGTTGTCTGGCTTGACCGCCTGGATGTGAATTGGACGTGACCCTTGCCTCTCTCTCTCTCTCTGTCTCTCACACACACACGTCCCTGTCGCGTGCAGGCAAGGTGTGCATCCTTTCCCCGGACAAAGGCGTCTGCCTGGCTCACCTGCTCAGGTGGCACTACAACAGCACGCAGAGGGGGTGCGACGTGTTTCTCTACGGCGGCTGCGGTGGCAACGGGAACCGCTTCCAGTCTCGGGAGGAGTGCCAGAAGATGTGCTCGCCTCTCTGTGAGTCGTTGTCCACAAAAAAGCTTTTGTTGTTGTTTGTGTTGTGGTTGTTTGTGTTGTTGTTAAACAATCGTTCACACGATGCTGACGTGGTACGTGTCTGTTAGATTCAAAACGAAACGTCGAGCATCGTCGCGGTCAATATTACCGATGACCAGTGCACACGCCACGCCGTCGCTACCTTCTGCTGTTGTGCCATGGACACGTGAGCTGCGAGCTCCACACCATCTTCGTCGCTTCACTGCCAGTTGCCTTCAGGGTCTTCTGCTTCGTCGCTGACCTATTCATATTCTTTGGCTCTTTCGGTAAAGTCACGTAGATAGAAAAATAAGAATAAAAAATAAAGTGAATAAAAAATCTAAATCAAATGATAAACAACAACAAAACACTAATGTGGACTGCAGTAAACCACTAATGTAGATTGTAGTATATTAGTGCTTTTTGTTGTTGTTTATTATTTGATGTTAATTTATTTATTCACTTTATTTTTTCTATCTACGTGACTTTGCCGAAAGAGTCAAAATTCATCGCTGACCTCTTGGTGCCCTTTTCATTTTCCTGTAACCTGCCCCACTCCATCCGGCCACAACGCGTTCCCAGTCATCGCAATCTCTTCTTCTTGTTGGCTACATTGCATTTGTCAATATGCTCTATTCCCTACGCGCAAGTTGTTTTCTCTGTCTTTTTTTACGTAAATACGACCACCCTCTGCGGCATGCACCTGAATTCAATGGCCAGAATGTTATTTTCTTGCCGCTTTTTGTTGTTAAAGTCCAGTTCGTTTTCTTGTTCCGTACATTAATAGATGTCACTCCTGCCTCAAAGCACCCGTTTATTAGCTGGAAAATTGTAATCATATGTAAGGACATCACAGCGGCAGTGGTGGAACGAGCACAGCGATTAAAGCAGCACCACCACCATTGTCAAGAATATGGCCGTCATCATTATTGCCATCATCATCATCTCTTTTCTTCTTCGATCCAAACGTCGGCAGCCACGCTTACTTATTCTTCACGTCGTTGGTGCATCTCTCTATTTTGTGATAATCACCTGCAGTGCCTCCGACACTGCAATGTCAATCCATCTACATCAGACCCACCTCAGAGGATCCACCTCTTCAATTTGACCTTCCATAATATTATTGAAGAACATTGCCCTGCTTGCCTCTGTTAGCACAAGTCCTGTCAGCACCCATTCTCTCTGAGTCACTTTATTCAGGAGATGCATATCAATATAGAGTGAGAGGGTAACCATAACGTTCTGAATAACTTATATCTGTATAAATCACCTTGTAATATGGCACTTTGCAAACACTGAAACATTCGGAGGCAGTTGATATGTACAATGTTTTCTATCACCAAACATTGGGTAGCAAGCACACCGTTAAATAGTAAAACTTAGATCGATTCAATGGACACCGCCCTGTGTGAGCTGTTAGTCCTCCTCTTTCTGCCAGTTTTTTTTCCATCTTTCCGTAAGTGATCGCAGTGAAGACGTCTTCATCGTCTCAATCAGTTTTCTGAGAGGGGCCCCAATGTGGTCCGGTCCCACACACAAGCGGACCACCCGTTCCAGGTTTTGCAAACCGCCGCCACCACGAGCCAGGCGTGATGAATGAAGTGAGCGCAAATTCGTTCGTCGCACGCATTGAGCGAGGACTGCATTTACTTATTCATGACCACGTAATTGCTTAATCTTGTTCCGCTTATACTTTGCAGATCTAAAAACCAAAAAAACTGCAGGTTGGTCTAGATACGCAATTATGTGTATTTTTTTGTATCAACCTGATTGTGTTCTTTTTTGTGGGATGCTTTCTCTTACCCATGAAACTAATTAATCGCGTGACGAACTGATTATAGAAGCAGCCGGACAATCAATTATACGAGACAAACCTGACTGATTTAACCCACTCACATGCAAATTATAGATACAAGAGGTGGAATGCCTCTGCACCCAGGAGGGTGACCCACCACGGAATTGGCAGCACTGATAACAGAGCACCTAAACCTTCCAAGCACCTGAGAATGAATACTCGAGTTTGAAACCAGGTTGGGGTGAACTAAAGTCATCAACTTTCGGTGAAAAATTGTTCTTGTCCTTTGATGGCCAGGTGGGTCAGAAGTGAGATCACTGAGCCGACACGATTGAGACTCTGGGGTTAAAAATCCAGACAGACACCCATGACTTAAAACATGGTTCTCACGTTTAGTGAGTTGATGTTTTCAGCCTAGACACCAATAATTGTGCAAATAAAACCCACCACATTACATTTGGTTCTTCACTTGATTTGGCCAAATTCCAGCTCTGAGACTTTTAAATATTTAATGTATATGAAGTATGGGAATTGACGGCAGGAACTTCTTGACGGGTAACACACTTTTATTAAATCTTTACGTGTCACAATACAACGTGTGGTCTTCCTTCTTCCGTGACACACTCCACTAATCTCGTGTAAACTCTAGGCCTCTGGCTACACCCGATACACTTGACTCGTGTAGACCCTATGCCTCTGGCTACACACACTACACTCGACTCGTGTAAGCCCTATGCCTCTGGCTACACACACTACACTCGACTCGTGTAAGCCCTATGCCTCTGGCTACACAATACACTCGACTCGTGTAGACCCTATGCCCTGGCTACACACAATACATTCGGCTCGTGTAGACCTATGGCTACACACACTACACTCGCCTCTGGGTTACACAGAGTCCCGGTCCCCTTAGGACAGCGGGGCTAGGTACCGCAGGGCTCTAGGTCTTCATCCCCGTCTTCATTCTTCGCTGGTTACACACTGCCCTTACGCCTGTGTGCATCCCCTTTTATAGCCCCTGCTCACGAGAGACGGAGCTGATGCGGCGTCGACGTGAGCGTCGTTCCTTAATGAACCAATCACGACGCACTCTCTCTACGATCCGCTTTCCCCAGCGCGTGTTAACATTACTCCACCAATCACACTGCGCTGCCACCTGATCACTCCCTCTCAGCGCGTCACCGGCCCACAGCCAATCGGTACCCCGTAACCCACGACCCCGCGCTGACCCCTGATCCTCCACCGTCAGCGCGCGTCACCACCTACACAGCCAATCATCACGCACTGTGCATACGATCCCTAATCCCAGCGCGTATCACCTCTACATCACCCCCTCCCACATAGCTTGCAGCCGGCCCGGCTGTTAACCTACAACACAACATAACGCAACGCAGTAATAAAGAACTCCACATCCCAGTGTGCCCCGTAACACAACAACAACAACATAACACAACCTTAAATACGAAGCAATATACAGCCCGACGAACAACACAATAAAAGCGAACACCGTAAAACGAACGCGCCAAGTGTCACTGTGACCCACGCAGTGCCGAGGCGCTCCGGCTGCCTCGACTCCGCACGTGGTAGGTTACACAAAGTAGCGCGACCTAGCGCGAGTCCGTCTGGCCGGTCCGTCGTATGGAACGGGACGTTGGCGACCGTCCGGTGTCTCCGGCAGCTCTAGACGGCACGGATCGGGCCTGGAAGGACCGGCCCCGCCGTGAAGATCCGGCCGCCGGTGGTCGGCAGCAGTCAGTTCCGAAACACCGGGGTTTGCAGTGATGACTTGGGGCCTTGGTCGTCGTCCAGCCGAGGTCCCATGGCGCGCTGACGTGGGGCGCGGCAACCGGAGGCCACGTGGCCACGAAGGCCGCAGTTATAGCAGGTGATGACAGTAGTCGGAGATCTCGGTTGCTCCAGCTTGCGGGCCGCTCGCAGAGGCGAACGACCCCCCGACCTCCAGTCCCCCGCTCGTCCCGCGATGAACGCGTCCTCTCGTGGGCTGACGACTTGGGGCACGGTGTCAACTGGACCCGGAGTTGAGGCCACGGCAGCGTTGCAGACGACCCCCTGCTTTCGTTGAAGGACCTCGTGCGCTTGCATGCTCGTGGCGACCCGTAATGAAGAAATATCGGTCTCGTCGGCCGTGTTGATGGGGACCCCCAGGTCCTGCGCCAACTTGAGCAGCTGCTCCAAAACCATCGCATCTTGGCCCTCCTCGTCCATACGAGGGAACGCGGCGTCAGCGAGAGCGAGCAACGCCGTGCGGTAGGCGAGCACGGTCTCCGTGTCCGCCTTCCGTCTTGCGTAGAAATGATGGCGGCACGCCGAGGGAGGACCGTAGACTTTGCCATGAGAGCCAGCGCATCCTTGAGCGTGGAGCGGTCCGACCTGCGTGCGGACGTGAAGGCCGCGAGCGCGTTGTCGTCCAGCATGGCAGGCAGTGCCCGCAGTGCCGTAGCGTCGGACCAGGCGGACATCTCTTGATGCGCCAAAAATCTGCGCTGAAATTGGCTCCAATCCCCGCCTTCCGCCTTGAATGCTGACAACGTGGGAAGGCGCTGCTGAAAGATAAAGTCGTCCTCCTCCTCGTGCTTCCTCTCTGCCCCCCCGTCGGTGTGTAAGATGGCGGCCCCATCGGCGGGTGTGTGATGGCGGTCCGCCGCGCGCGTTGGTGACGTCAGCGGGCGCGCATGGAGAACCGCTGCCACGTGGTGATGGCCGTTCCCGCCAAAAGTTGGAGCGGATGAAATGGCGGGAATCGCCAAATCGTTTTGGCGGGAATCTGCAGGGCGACCCTGTAGCACGTCGGCCGCCGTCCCCGCTCCTCCCGACGAGCTGATCTCCGCCAAGATGGACGCGGCGGCGAGCAGCAGCTCCGCCAGACGGGAGTGTGCCTCGCGAAGCACGGTGTCAGTCCCCCGTCGCTCGTCCGGCGCCGTCGGTGGATCCTGCCCCGTGGGCAGCTCCTCTTCCTCACCCCCTGATGCCCGCTGGCCCGCGTCGTCGAGGTTGTCCCCGTGGTCAATCCCGTGGGTCCGACGGCTCCTCCTTGTATCCATGCTTGGAGGACCGTTTCACTTCTGACGCCAGTTGAAGTATGGGAATTGACGGCAGGAACTTCTTGACGGGTAACACACTTTTATTAAATCTTTACGTGTCACAATACAACGTGTGGTCTTCCTTC